TGGAACTTATTTATAGCAATGAGGATCCGGCTACATATTTGCACTACAATGGAACCAGAACAACTCCTGACTTACTCTTGGCTTCAAGTGACATCAGTGAGCATACACACCGCAAAATAATTGACGATTCTGGTTCTGGTCACAAACCTGTCATTGCTAGTATTACCATCGGCAGCAAAAGCATGACAAGGAAAGTGCCAACTAAGCTATCATGGAACTTCAAGAAGGCTGACTGGTCTAGATTCACTAACCTTTTAGAGAATGAACTTCACACAAGTCCCCTCAACTTCAACCAACATCCTGACAAACTTTGCATCAAGTTACTTGGTCCAAAATTGATTATTTTAATTCAACTATTTTTTAGTTTGCATACAGTTTCTGTTTAGGTCTAAATTTATGCAACCAAGAGTGGATGAAAATAAAGCATCTTACGACGAGCGTGGAAAGCAGAAATGCCTTAGCTGAAATTCGTAGGTGTATGGTAAAGAGTACACCACGTACTCCTTTGCTCAATCGCACAAGCGTGCACTACGATTTAGAACTTTTTGGTGCTGGGGGAGGGGGGGGGGAGGAGCATCATTCGCACACAGAAGAGCAAAATGAAGTGCATTGAAGAGATTGCACTTTTACCAATCAAAAGTGAAATAATCCACGCTCATTATTATTTAAGAAATTTTTATTTGTCCTAATGGTATTTTTGTTAAACAATAACAGGACATTTCAGGCGATGAATACGGTCATACTTTAAATGTAGGCATACTTTCAGACTAAGGATTCATAATTTAACAAAAAAATTCCTTGTGTGTTGAAGTAAAATGTGGAGTAGCATGAACAAAGAAAGCGGATTGATTAAACAGTGGATAAAAATAAGCATAAAAAAGTTACATGATATAACACAGAACAATTGAGGATATCAATGTAATGCGCAACTTTTGTAGTCCCTCTTAACTACCTATGAAGAGGAAGAAAACTCAGTTTTAAGAGGGGAAGGAGGGAAATCATTTTAAAATTGGATTGGGTTTGCCTTATCCTTTTGGCTCATTTGCAAAATCCCGATGACGTATTTCAATGTGATTTCGATCCCACATTTTAAGCCCAATTTTTGCGAAGACGATAAATCAGGTATGCAATTCACCGGTAGCGCAAGGGTCGATGTATTCATCGGTTCTTAAATTAGTTTAATTTGGAGGAAGGAGTGGTAAAATTCGACTTTCTCACCAAGGATGTTCCATGATGCTATCCTACCACCCATAATGAATAAAGATAAACGTTCCCTAATTGGAGTTGCTATTTTTTAATTAATAATTCAGATATTTCAATATCAAGGACCCTATTTGGACCATCATCAATGTCAACGATGGGAGTCACGTTCAGTTGCCTAAAATCATGAGGTCATCCCGAATGATGAAGCGTACAAGATTTGTGTCCTCGCTGTCTTAACTGGCGTTTTAGGTCATTAAAAGGGTACACGCCACTCCGCAGCGTCCAACGAATCTATAAGTTCTCCGTCTCCTTAATCAAACTACACCAAATATAACCCATTCCTTTACCACTCATACGCCTCAACTACTCGGTAAATTCCCGTGCTACTATATCTTAATAAGGGGTGCGCGATAGACTTGCCTCGACGTGGTGCATCCTGGGCAACGTATACTCATACAGCAAAAAAGTCTATTGACCGGCAGTTGACCTCTGACTTCAAACTACCATAACCCCACTGTTTCTCATATTCGCCCCCTTTCACAGTACTCACCTAACCTCTTCTCTGCCTTTGTGTCTGTCTGTCTTTTTCATCTGTGAATTGCTCTTCTTTTCCCCTGTCCAATTTTTCTCACTTTAATGTTCCTCCCTTCTGTGAAGCCCGAAGTCAACTAAAGGGCTAATGATAACTATCAAAATGCCTGCCATTTGAAATAAATAATATCTTAATAAAAAGCATTCGAATCATAGGGTATTTAGGTGACAAACACATAAAGAGCACTTTAAATTCTTACTATTAAAGCGTCGCCAAACGACAATACAACACGCTAGTGAACCAGTCTCACTTTTCGACCATATTTTTAATCACCCCAGACCATGAAAAATTCGCCTTTTACTTAAGGAAAAATTTATTCATTGCGCACGAAAGAGCCACTTTTTATCAAAAATGAGACCAAAGCTAAGAGGTTAACTTTAAGCTTTAGGCAGGCTTATATTCAAAAGATTACACACACATGCTTTAGCAGTTGATTGCCCTGCCAAAAGAAGCGGCAGTACAAGCTTCACGAAGTGCCTCACTGACAGTCTGCAAGAAGAAATAATATTTAAAAGAAGTTATAGTAAAGGAAGAAACTAAAAAAATGAACTTACCGGGTGAGCATGGCAGACACGGGAAACATCTTCTGCAGAGGCACCATATTCAATAGCGAGACAGGCTTCACCAATAAGTTCACCAGCTTGTGGACCAAGGAGGTGGACACCGAGAATTTTGTCAGTAGTCTTGTCTGACAAAACCTTAAAGAAACCCTCTTGTTCCAGATTACACTTAGAGCGGGAGTTGGCTGAGATAGGGAATTTCCCAGTCCTGAAAAAAGCTATTAGTATAGACATCTAACATTTGGAGTCGAAAAAGGGGTTATACGTACTTGTATTCCATTCCGTTGGTCTTCAAATCTTCCTCGCTCCTGCCAACCCAAGCGACCTCGGGATGAGTATAGATCACGCTGGGGATACAGTTGTAGTCAATGTGTACCTTTCCGCCAAGCATTCCTTCAACACAAATAATGCCTTCATCTTCTGCTTTGTGTGCTAACATCGGACCCTCAATAACGTCGCCAATGGCGTAGATGCTGAAAGAAAAGATATGCTTATTTATCTGGAAAAAACGTGAAATCAACGAGCTTGTAATATTAATGACTTACTTGGGGACCTGAGTCTGGAAACGCTTATCAACAGGGACACGACCGTATTTGTCAGGTACAATACCCACATTCTCCAATCCAAGATTTTCTGTATAAGGACGACGGCCAATTGCGACAAGAACGACATCACAACTAAGCTGTAGGAGAAAAAAAGAGCATTAATTAAAGATATGAAAATGTAAATTTACAGTGCTGGTCTTTCCGTCTTTAACACCCTCAATAGCAACGCTAATACCATCTGTCGTCTTTTCAGCCGAAACAACTTTTGTGTTTAATTTGAAAGTAAAACCTTGTCGTTGGAGTATACGCTGGAGTTGTTTGCTTATCTCCATATCAATTCCCATACCGCCGATATGACCGAGATATTCCACAACAGTCACCTTGGCACCAAGACGTTTCCAAACAGACGCCATTTCAACGCCGATAACACCGGCACCAATAACAACCATGTGTTTTGGAACTCTTTCAAGAGAAAGGGCACCAGTAGAAGTTATAAATTCCTTTTCGTCAATGTTGATTCCAGGAAATTGGGTCACATCTGAACCGGTAGCAATGAGAATATTTTTGGTGTTAATGACCTCAGTAGATCCATCGGGTTTCTTGACGGTGACTTCATTAGGCTTGGTGATTGTTCCGACACCTTGCACGCTTTCAACACGGTTTGCTTTGAAAAGATGTGCAATACCACTGGTGAGTGAGGAGACGCAATTCCTCTTTGCAGCCATCATTTCATCAAGGTTGAGTTTAACATCACTTAGACCGATACCACGGTTTTTCATGTCGTCGGTTTTGCACATATGATAATAATGGGAGTTATTCAGAAGTGATTTACTCGGGATACATCCGACGTTTAGGCAAGTGCCACCGAAAGTTGGGTACTTTTCAATGCAAACTGTCTAATAAAGAAATCTAAAAAGAAATATGATTTCGTGCCTTCATGCCCAACTGGGCTGCCTTAATGGCTGCCACATATCCACCGGGGCCAGAACCGATAACAACAAGATCCTTCTCACCAGTTGAAAGGTAACGAGAGAGTTGGCAATTGAAGACTTTGGGAGCAGATCTCAATGACACCTAAGAGGAAAAAAATTAAACTTTGCAAGTCAACGTACGAGCCTCAACATCGCAAACCCCATCACAACGAAATTAAACGAATAAGTGACCTTCACCTAGAAGGCCTCCAAACAAACGTATTAACTTAAATGGCAACTATTTTAAAAAGTAAATGAAAATTTATTGCTTGATATCTATTAACATATTATATTTATTCGCTAATATTAACGTAGTAGTGTGTTTCAATATGCAAATGACTTTTTTATAACTTACATTATTTAGCCACATACAGTACTCTTTTGAGTAAGGCGAGTATTAAAGAGAAAATATAATCAGAATCTTGAGTCTATTTTAGTTATCATGAGCACATCATTGTCTATAACCATCTCGTAAGGTTCTCAATATTGATATCAAATTAATCTGTAATATTGCTCAAACATTTTGAAAGGAACAAAGCATCTGTTTTTGGAAACTATTCAAATTTTTTTTATACATATGAATATATATGAAAATATTTTTTGTGGTGATAAGACTTATTCGGATTAAAATTACCCATTAAGGTATTGGGAGGGAATCACAGGGTAGCAACCGAGAATGGAAACTAAAATGAAAAAAATTCAGCGTATATTAAGTCATGCGAAATGCAAGACAACAATTTGAAATTCTAATATTTGCTCTAGGAAATACTAACTCAGAAATAAATTCATGCAATTCCATGAGCGGAAAATTGTTAAAAATGGAACAACAGAGAGTTAAAAAATAAGTTAAAATAAAAACTCGCAATTAGGGATGACCATTGAATCTAAAATGTAGTGCTTCATTAGTTAAGTAAATAAGATATAATTCAGGCATTATAATATTAAATAAATAACAATAATGCAAAATTGATCAACGACTTTGAACTTGTTTAATAATAACATTTCAACAACAGTCGACAGGCGCCCATAGATATCAACAATATTATCATGATGGAATATGACGAGATTCTGCTTCTAATAAAATTGGAAACTTTGACTAACATTCCAATTAGAATATTTGTAGTGGATCTGAGGGGATATTTGCATCCAAACAATAAATTAAGTGATTCAAACTTCTCTACCCAAAAAAATATCTTGAATCTACATTTAACTATGCAAAAAGTTTTTCGTTAAACAGTCATCATACCTCGTTTGCAATATCTCCGTTTAATTATTGGTGTCAATTTAAGTACCTCTGTGTTGTGGGACACTCCATCAATGACCAAATAGAAATCCTGCTATAGAATATTACTCAGAAATATTTAGCTATTAATGTTCACACGAATCATGCTAGAGTTATCTGATAACTAATCGCTTTGCCAAATTTATCAATATACGTACTGAATAAACGTATTCCGTACTACACGTCTGTTTCCCTTATAGCTGGGCAATAGCTTAGCTTGTTCTGGGGGTCTAGCTAGATGTTGGAGAATCTGCCATAGAGATTTCTGAGTCGGTCAGGCTTTACTAGCGTAGCAATCCGCTACAATGCAATCCGGTCAGGCTTTACTAAGGTAGCAATCCGTTACAATTCTCAACCGGTCTGGCTTTACTAAGGTAGCAATCCGCTACAAGTCTTTAACCAGGTCAGGCTTTACTAGCGTAGCAATCCGCTACAGTGTTAACACGCAAAAGCACTTCAGAACCGTCTAAATGTCTATCAATACTGTTTATTCTCTAAGTATTAGAGCACAATTGTTATTTGTAGCAGACATGAAACAAAATTCTATTATGAAACTAAAAGTCCTCTTTTAACACTAAAATGTCTGTTTGTAGAAATCACGACTTTCCTGTTGTCTTCTGATGAATCTGAACAAAACTAAAGATATAAAGTGATATTGATTTTATTATGGGGTAGGGCTAAGTTTAAGGGAAAAATGTCATTTTACTAGGAGTAATCATCGACATTCAAAAGAAAGAAAGTGAATAAGAAGGACATGTGGAAAACACAATCTTCACACAATTAAACTGCGCAGCCAAACACTCAGCAGAGTGTTGCTGCAGATGCGGAGGACTGCTCAGTTAATCACCAATTAAAGTTCATTCAAATTATGCTAGATATAGACGTTGACTAAACATGTTTGGTGGTATCATAATTGTAATGAACGCTTCACCTACAATACGTTTTTCACCACTACACAATTACGATATTTCAAGTCCAGAGCTTTTACAAATTACTGGAAATTGCCATATAGATTTTTGAGAATAAGTCAAGGCTTATTTTTGTAGCAGTTCGCTTTAGACAACAAAAGAAGAAAGAATAAGAGGGGATATGAGGATTTGTTAGTGGTAAGACGTTGGATGCATTACATGGATAGTTGATAATATTTAAAGATATAAGCTTAGAGTAGGGGGGGGGGGGGGGGGTGATAGACTTACCTCCAAGTGGAGCATCCTGAGCAACGTATACTCATATGGAAAAAGGCTATAAACAGCCTGTTGACTTATGACTTCAAACTACCATAACCCGACTGTATGCCATATTCCACCACTCCCACAGTACTCATCTATCCTTTTTTCTGCCTTTGTACCTGTCTCTCTCTCTCTCTCTCTCTTCCATCTGTGAACCACTCTTCTGTTCTCCCTCTCGACTTTATGTGACTTTGCTATTCCTCCTCTCTGTGATACCCGAAGTCAGCTAAAGGGCTAATGATAACTACTAAAATGCCTGCCATTTGAAGTAACTAAATAAAGTTTAGAATGGAGTTGAGTGGCAATTTTAGCATAAACCCAAACCCATATTTTTAAAGATTTCGAGTTCGTAGAAGAGAGAATTGTAGTGATTTGACTTATAGATATACCATTGTAGGCATAAGTATGAGTTCTGGATGTTTTTTAGCGGTCCAGATTATCGGAAAACGATCGGTCAATTATTTGCCATACAAAAAAATATTGGTGATTTTCACTTTTGTGAATCCAATATCTGCCCCATAATTAACATTATTTGTCAAAACACTTATTTCGATGCGTTTTACCCTTATATAAAATAAGCCTTTTTTTGACGTATGATTGGGTGTCTTCAATGGCTTAGCTTTCTATTGGTCTTGTTAACCTCTCCTTAGCCTATTATTGTATCCTTTTCTCACTTCAGGTATCTGGATGTACTTGCCATTTTCTCAACTAGATTGTTGTAAATTCGTTACGTTTGTCGAATAATTTTACGAATACCTTAATCGAATGGGTTATTATTTGGCTAATTTTGAACTTTCAAATTAATTATGTTTTTTTCATCTCAATTCCAATTAATGCAATTCTCTGTTTTTCCCCAGATTCTTTTGCGCACAATTTTTGCAATGGAGTGGTTCTCTGGTGATATCGCACAGTGTATCAAGAAAGTTAAGACGGATGGGAAGCTCTTCCTCGTCTTTTCAAGCGGTACGGAATTTTACGATAATTTTTATTTGCGTTTAAAAATGAGGTTATATTTTACTCCTCCTTTAGGTGAAGAAGATGAATCCAAACAAATATCAGAAGCTTTAGACTCGGATGAAGTGGCTGATCAATGCAGTGATATAATATGTGAATATCTTACATGCCTAATTTGCTTTGAAATTCTTGCGGCTCTTTATTATTAAAATCTATTTTTTATAGGCCTTCGACTTCAATCTGGGTCGACATCTTTTACTCAGTTTTGCGCAGTTTATTCGGTCCCATCCATTCCTTGTATTCATCTCATCTCTCCATTTGGTAAAGTCTTATCGGTCAAATCTACAGACTTTACTCAAAACCAGATCTCACATTGGTTGCAAGAAACTATCACAATTTTTCGTAAGCATCTTTACTAGGCGATCTTCTGTGTATAGATTATTTGGTAATAGTAATCAATCATGATCTATTTGTAGATTTAATTGAAGTTAAGGAAGGTGAAGTAGATCAAATGAAATCTCAAAGTCGGCAAGTACCTGATGAAAATATACTTATTAAAGAGGATGAGAGAGCTCAAGAATTGCAGACTGTAAGGACCGAAAGTGCAAAAGCTAGTGATGAAGCCACGCTGAAACAACCAGAAACCATCGAATTATCTCAATCTTTGCCTATTAATGAGACGATTTCATCTAATCATGATGGTTCATCAACTCAAGGAAACGATGATGGTGAAGCTTCTCATCCAGGATTAAGCTTAAAGAATAAAATTGAGCACGCCAAACGTCTCATTGAGGAAAAGAAAAAGGAAAAAGCAGTCGAAGAATTTCAGAAGACTCATGAAGCAGAAATCAAGCGTCGCGAACAAGGTCGCAATTTGACCGAATTCAAGGTATTATTTTGTGCTAAAGCTTAATTGAAGTTTATTTGATTAAGTAGCACGTAGTTTAATTGGGTTTTGGGATGTTGAAGGGAATATTTAAAAAAAACTGTGGTGAATATACTGGTTTTATTTGATAAAGAATTTGCCGTTTGAAAACATCAACACGTTTTTGCCACCACTTTGTTAACCGGTTAATTCCATGATAGAAACAATATCATTCTAATTTGGTCTCATTTGTTTTAGCGAAATAACTGTTCGTTTATTTATAAGTGTCTTTGACTTTTACTAATCTCCCAAATAGGCTTGGAACCTATCAACGTTTCGTAGATTTCTAGGCTCGTTAAAATGAGTTCACAGAATCAGATCCTTGTCTCGACTCCTTTCTGAGTTAATAACATTTATAAATACAGTGATTATTTTGTTTTAGCGCATGCAAAGGGAAAGAGAAATTCGGGAGCGGTTGGAGGAACAAAAACGTGACAAGGCTGAAAGGGAAGCTGCGCGGCGCCAAGTTCTTGCTCAAATTGAAGCTGATAGACGCGAGCGCATGTCCGCGGTTGCTCCCAAGCCCTCGCCAGCCGCAACCTTACCTTCAGAAAGGAAATCACTCTCTTTTGACCCCAATGAGGCACGTTTACTTTGTTCAATATATAACACATTCACCTTATTGTTGTTACAGGTTCGTCTCCAAATACGGCTACCAGACGGCGCCCATATGATTGGTGTGTTTTCATCTGGGGCTTATTTAGGTACCGATGTGAGGGATTACATTACCGCGCGTGTACGAGGAAATGAAATTTCTACGTACAACGGCGTCACTGTACCTCCGTTGAGTGAAGCAATGCGCTCTTCCTTCGCTCCAGTTGTCTCCAGTGGTTACATTTTCCGTCAAACACAATTGCCACCACCCCGAAACTTCTCGGTAGAGGATGAACACGCGAAAACGCTTCGTGATCTTGACCTTTGGCCTTCTTCTGTTCTCACTCTGCAGAGTTTACCATCGCCGATTTCGCTTTCTAGAAGGTCTGTCTCTGAATACTCTCAGAGTAAGCTTTTAAGTCTCTTATATTTAAACAATGTGGAAAAGAGCCAATAAGTCATATTTAACTTTGTCTTAGATATTATGTCGTATATGTTTGGTTTGGTATGGAATGGAATTCGGAATGTAGGTGAATCTGTGTACTATCTCGGAGCTGGTTTGATTAATTTTGGACAAAATACATGGCAAACCCTCTGGGGTAGTGCTGACGTTGGCGGTCGAGATGGACAAACCCTTGGTCGTGAACCTAGTGAAAATTCCGAATCTCGTCCCAAATCCAGTAATGTTGAATCGGATGAGGGGAGAGCCTACAGACGGCAGGTGAGCTCTCCAAAGCGTTTTATTGGACATGAATTGCAGTACAATTTGATCAAGATTGCTTTTTTCTCCTATACAAATTTAGGGCAATATCTCGAGACTCTCTCATATGCCCGATGACACGGATGAACAAGCGAGGTGGAATGGAAACTCGACAACTCAGCTGTGACACAGTCAACCGATCTCGTCTTCTTTCCTCCCTACCGCCCAATAATGGCTCGAAAATATTTTGCCCCGCTAACCTTTCTCCCTTTTTTCTGCTAACTTAATTCATGTTATATTTACTGTCTTTCATTCTCTTGTTGTGATATACGCGATCGCTAATATCATTTATCAATTTTCTTGTTGTCGTTGAGCTACTATTCGAGGGAATGCTAATACCACATGAGATTCGCAAATAGATGGTTATTGGGCAGTCAGAGTATGAGTTGTTGTTAAATTGGACGTAAAGGTGAATTCTAAATTGTGTAGATATACTTCAAAGGTTCGGACGATGTATTCATTTTGCTACTCTTAAGGTATAGATGACCATAGAAAGTTGACCGCAATATCGCCAACGGTGAACATGTATGTCTATTAAGTGTGCCACTTTACATCAAGAATGGGCTGAAAAGACACTAGCCAATGTCAGTTGGAAACGACAAGTATGAAGCGACTAATGCCCCCAGGGTTACATTTGGAGCAGGAATACATAAACCGCTATAATAGAAAGGGCAGTATTTAATTATTCACCGAAAACAGATATATTGTGACAGCAAGATTCTCGAAAAATTATATTCACAATTCTTTCATTAATTATTCATAAACTTGCTGAGTTTATACAAAAATACTTTAAATTCTTTAAAACCACTTAAATTTAATTTAAAGTCTATCCATTTGAAAAAATTAATCATAATTAACTATATAATCAATATATTAAATAATAATTAATAGATAACAATAATAAATATACATAGAAAATTAAATTAAATACTTTAGCTAGTTACAATTATTGCCGCACAAAATTCCATTCTTGACCTCAGTGCACATTTAGACCAACGGGATGCGTGCTCCGGAGGTTGGTCTGGACGATGTTATTATCTCCAAGCGAATAGTTGCTGCGGCTTTGGGAGGCGTTATAACTTCATTAGTGATGACACCTTTGGATGTAGTAAAAATTCGGATGCAAGTAATTCTTAATCTACTTTATATGCTTTTTTAGTCTGCATCAAGAACAAATAGTTGTTTTCTCTATTGCAACGGATTAATGGATCATTTGTGTGCTTGCTCAAACAATTATCTGGCTGAGGAATCAAAATCGGGGCGTTGGTTCCGAAGATCTGGGAACTCAAAGTTCTTTTCTTTGCGTTCTCCCATTTGCAGACACCCAGATGGCATTTCCTATTGCATTTACCACGCTGGTTTGAAACGACATCCTTTCATTCAATCTGTAAATTATATGAGTATGACTTCTAGAGTAAGGCTTTTATATTTTTAGCTCTGCAACTTTTACAAACGTATAGTGAAAATCCTTTTGCACTTTTTCAGGATACTCTAACAAGCATAGTAAAAACCGAAGGTGTGCTATCACTCTGGAGTGGATTATCGCCAACACTGTAAGTAACGTTTTTAAGTGTAGTAATATTTACTTTTTAGAGTTATGGCTCTTCCTCAGACTGTTATCTATTTCTCATTAAATGACCTTCTGAAATGTCATATCAATCGGACTTTGAATGGCTATCGGGATCCCACAGATATAAACGATCCAATTGTACATATGGTACCTCCCATCGTTGGTGCAACGTCGAGAATATTTTCTGTTTTCACAATCTCGCCCCTAGAACTTATGCGCACTAAAATGCAGTCTAAACCAATGACTCTTAAGAATTTTTACGACACTGCCAAATCAACTGTACTTAAGGTTTGTTACTTTTTTTTAAACTTTCGTCTTCGTTGACCACGCTTTGTCTGTTTAATATTCTTTTTTTTGAAGGATGGAATTCGAAGTTTGTGGATAGGTGTTGGACCAACCCTACTACGGGATGTACCATTCTCAGCAATCTTTTGGTACACCTTCGATTGCAATAAAAATCGATACTCCCGAAATCGAATCTCAGCATCCTCTTTTGGCGAGACACCTGTAAATATTGATTTCTCCGTTGCCTTTTTCTACGGTGCAACGGCTGGTTTCGTAAGTTGTTTTTTTCACTTGTTTAACTTCAATTTGCTGACTCTTGAAATCATAAATTATCATTTATCCCTTGATTTAAATTGAAGTGGCTTTTTATTTGGTTATATCTATTTTGGTAAAAAATTTTGATGTGCACTTTAGCATTCTTTAGTCTGCATGCCATTATTTACTTCATTTTCTTTGTTTTCTATTTGCTGTTTATTTTTCCAGGTTGCAGGCTTAGCTACTCATCCGTTTGATGTAATTAAAACCCACCGCCAGTTGGAATTGGGTGAATCTCTCTTTGGAAGTAAGTTGTTTCATTTGTTCCTTTTTTTATTTCCTTTTTTCATGCTTTATGTTATGACGGAAGATATTTAGGTTTCACTTTTTTTAAAAAAAATAAATGTTTATGTTGCTTTACTCATCTTGATCTAAGCAAAGGCTTGTTATGGTTTGATAAGTTGATGAATGAAGTTTCTTAATTGAACTAACCACTTTGCTCTAGTAGTTCAAGGTTTATTTCCTGTGTCGTCTATTTATTAAATAACTGTCATAACATTGCACTGCACTTGTGACCTTGCTGAAAGTTCAATGCGAAAAGGACAACCTTAAATTTCCAAAATAAATCGCCCAATTTAATATTACTGAAATGTTTTCGTTACCCATATTTGGAAATAGAAGCAATGTACTGAAGAATTAATGATAAAGCAAGCAAATTGGTTTTTCTGATGTCTACGCTTCTTTAATCTTTGCATCTTATTTAAGAAAAATCCTATTCACACTCGACTTGGTCCGCTCTTAGACGACTGTACAGTCAGAAGGGTTTGCGAGGCCTCTTTAGTGGTGAGTTTATTTTTTAACTTTATTACTCTCATACGAGTTTTTTGGGCGTTGATCTTCTTTTTCTTTACAACAGGTTTCACACCAAGGCTTTTGAAGACCACGACCGCTTCAGCATTGATGGTGTCCATTTTTGAGGTGGTGAAGCAGAACCTTATGTCTGATTGAAGGGAACTCTACCTTCACACTCATTTCCTGACTCACCCTTTTCCTCGAAAAATATCGGTACAGACTTTTCTTACTTATTCGAAATTTTTCTATTTTTACGATTTGCTGAATTGGCATTACTAGTCGAACTTTCGTATGTGCTAAATATTTTTTTATAATTGAAAATATGCGTACTTTTTTCAGTAAAATGCAGATTACTAAGTTATCTATTCTAATGACAATCAACTTATTGTAGCAAGCTAGATTGGTGATTGTATTGCGCAATATCCGAAGAGTCCACCTTGAATAGACCACCTCTTAATATATCATTATTAACCTAAATGAAATTATATGAATTTTGGAGAAATCATTCGCTACCAGGTTATGATATCCTGATTAACGCGGAATGTAGCTTTCACATTTTAGACTTCACTAGGCGGGAAAAATACTTCGATGTATCTGATGAATTCTCTTCATCTTGAGATTAAAACTTGCGAATTGGAGTCTCCGTCCCCTCTGACACTCCTTTTTTGCGTAATATTAATAGGTAAGAATGAACATGACGTTAGCTGAATATGGCCTAGCTTATGTCCTATATGCTTGAATGCATGACCAATGATTGTTATTGTTTCATACCATGCAGTTATTGATTACCCTACTTTGTTTCATTCATTTATGGACACACATCATTGGGACTTTCTAAGAGTGTTTATTCCATTCTTAACATGTTGAAATGTCGCTGAAATAGCTTTTCTGAATTATGCTGAAATTTGCTGTGGTATTTCTTACTGGAGTCATTAAGTCTTATTACAATAAGTCGTTTTCTTATCTCTACTTCATTTAATCGCGTTTGAAATGTGCTCTCATCATCTTCTGTTTCTCCAGTGCTCCTGATCAAGCATTTGTTGTTTGCTAATTGTGTTCAACTTTCTGTTTGTTACCCAGAGTAAGCAATAGATTAAGCTATTTTTAATGAATGAGAACAACCTGAAATCGGTTAAAAGAAGCTCCTACCAATGGGAAGGTGGATTAGAAAAAAGATGAGTGATTTCGAGGAGTCTTATCTCAATATTTGAGAATTCGGGATTTTGAGTAATTACTAGGTGGGTAGTTCATGTTCAATAATCAAATCTTCGTGAACTACTACGAAAATACATATCAACCATGTCCAATGCTTGGTAACTAGCTTTTTAATCATGATTGTCACTCCACTTTCCATTTCTTCGAATTATTGAGAAGACAAATGATGTTAAAGCAGAAATTGGATAGCTAGAAGCGTGTGCATTTTAATAATAGGTCAGGAGAGCTCCACATGAATTATATTTGCTTTCATGATATCTCATTAAGACATCTACTTTCATTATGGACTTGAACTTCACAACAAGTTGAAAATCAATCCTACCAAGACCGCTAGGTCTCTCTATGGGAGTTTATCGTGTATCTTGTTGGATTCGTTGTAATTAGCTAGACTCTTGTTCGATTTGATTTCTTTTTTCCGAGCGACTGCATTCTCACCTATAGTGTTTTTATAATTTTTCACGGAATGCCTTAATTCATACTACAGTTGTTTGATTGTATCATAATCACTCGTTTGACACCATTCATCCATTATTGTGTTCTATTTTTTAGGATGTTTTAACCCTTTTCTATGCTACCACACAAAATGCTTCATGATTTATTTGTTTACTTGAGATTAGAGGTCGTGTTTAAAGGATTGTTTTTAAGACCTTGGCTTCTTGTTTATGCTCTGATGCTCATTCAATTTATGCAATTGTTAAATGCGCTAATTTATCGACCCTCTTGTCTTTACTTTAGATTTTTTGCCAAGATACTCAAAGTAACACCTTATTCGTGCCGGCATTTCTTTCGAATTTTTATTCGAAATAAAAAAACCCTCTTGACCTTTATTGGTCTAGCTTTCTTTTGGAAAGCCCTTATTTGTATCGACTGTATAGATTTGAGATCTGATTTTGTATTTATTAGATAAAGCTCTTTTTCAATGACCCATTTTTATATGTCTATTATATGGAACTCAGATTATGACCCGCCCCCCCACTTTTGCAACCATTATAATCTTTTATGATTTATTGTGGAAGATCTAATTATGAAGGTGCCCAATATAATGAAAAAAATTATATGGAAGGCATTATATCGGGTTGAGGATCGTCCCGGACTGACACAGTTCCGGTCTGCGTACAGCTTTATCATTGTTTATTGCAGATACAGTAAAACATTGACGCAATATATTCATGGAAAATCATGACTTGAACTAAAAGCAGAATCAATGTTGGAAAACTGGGAGGCTTCATCGTGAGAGTCTTAGCTTAACTGGATTGCCTCCTATGGCCCGTGATACCAAGAGCTATTTGGTCGTTTGATTTAGTCGCGGTGTCATTTGCATCACCTAAATTAATTTGTAACCTTTTGAAACTGAGTATTGACTGAGCAAACTAGCCACAGGCTCATAAAATTTAATACCTCGGTCTGATTAGTGATTTACAAATCACATAAGCTTTGACTAAGTTTTCAGTTTACCGGAAGGGTTACCGTGTGCATAGTCGCACTTACAGAATGCTCTAGTGCGTATAGGATTCTTTTGCTCACACTTAAAAGCATTGAACTGATCAATAAAGGGCCAATGGGGAAGTGCTTCCACCAAGACGAGAAACTCTTTCGATAGAAATTTCAACCAAAGAAATTAATTGGTAACAAGTGGGTTGTAATTATAGAAATATATAAGTTCAAACCAGGCGTAAATGGGTTGCATTCATCGGTGTTGTTTTAAATTACTTCAACATTTTGGGTCAAAATTAGTTAACAATAGTCGTATTCGCATTATCAAAATTGAAAAGCATTTCATTTAGAATTTCAATAAAAATAAGTCAGTAGAAGTCGACAGATTAACCGAAAATATACCTAATAAGTAATAACAAAACAATAAATTTCATCATGCCATTAATTTAAATCTACCGTTTTTGACGTATAATTACATTTGCATAGAAAACAATGTGCTGTATCGGTAATATACCTGCATCAATTAGAAATCAGAAGCTATATTGTAAGCTTATTTTAAATAAGTCACCAAAGTAGACTCATTGAGATTAGTTATTACATTGATACTAAGCAGAAAATTTCGCTTTAATTAACTATGACTTATAGGAGTATGGCTTTGAATTTCAATGCCAGGATTTAGTGAGGTTATCGTCAATGATGCTTGAGAAATAATTACGCATAAAAATCCACCATCAAAACAGTTGACCACTATTAAAATATTTGGGGGAAAAATTCGAGTCTGCCGACAGTGTTTTAATAGGACGTAGAAAAAGATTAAAAGAGATATTCATTGAATAGAATATTTGGCAATTGAATGCTAGATATTGATGCAAATAAATATGAAGGGGATAGGGAAAATATTTTAAACAAAGTACAATAAGTAATTTCGCACTCCTATATTATCACCTCTACTCTGATTATAAAACATTCAATGAAATTTTTCTTAAATTTTAGAAAATACATTAAATGGGAATTAGTGTGGAATTAATGTGAGATCTTGAGAAGATGGCATTATGTTAAGACCTGAAAAATATTAGAAACGTGTGCATATAATAAACGAAAATGAAAGTCACGAGGTTTAATTACTTCTTGGTTATTAGTTATAGCAAAGCATTTGACAAAATTTTATTACGTAGAAATGTTAGCTTTAATTAATATTATATGTTTGCATATTTAGAATTGCATAAAATAATCAATAATTTAAAAAAGAAATATTCTTGGAAGATTTAGGACGAAATTCCACTTGGTTATAATCTCCTATCTTGGCATTTCCCATTGGCTAGTTTGTAAGGACGTTCCTCTGGGCTCTCGCGTCGCCATTATTGTGAGTCTTTCTTATATATCTTGCAATATTTTGATCTTCTTACACTATTTATGTATCTAAGTCCTGTCGGATTATGTTTGCTGTGATAGTACACGTTGGTGCAGGCTTTCACTCGAAGACAAAAGATCTTCTCTATAAAAAGTTATGCGAGGATGCTTGCAATGCTGCCGTACATGTTCTTAGTAATTTTTCCTCGGATCACGCAGCTTTAAATGCGGTAACAGCTGCTGTTTCGGTATTAGAGAACAGTTCTCTTACCAATGCTGGGTTTGGGAGTTGCTTGAATATTGATGGTCATGTGGAATGTGATGCGGGCATAATGTGTGGAAGATGTTTAATATTCTCTTCAGTTGGTAGCGTGTCATGTGTTAAAAATCCGATAGAAATACCCAAGCACCTGCTGTTACAACATCTCAGCGAACCCCGTTCCCCTATTGGAAGAGTCAAGCCTTTGAGTTTATGTGGAGATGGTGCAAAGCAATGGGCAGCAGAGATCGGTATTCCTCTTGTCCCATCTGATTCTCTTGTTTCTAATGCGGCAAGAAATAAGTGGAGAAACTATTGCAAGTTGTTAGACGAAAGCAGCTCTGTGTCTCAAGCTCATTTTAAAAAACCTCGATTAGATACAGTTGGTGCCGTTTGCTTGGATAGCTCGGGCAATATTTGTTCTGCAACATCGAGCGGTGGTATTCCTTTAAAATTTGCAGGTCGTATTGGGCAAGCTACAGTTTACGGTTGTGGTTCCTGGGCGGAAGTTACATCGGATATTTCTGTTGGATGTGTCACGTCTGGAACAGGCGAACAACTAATCAAAACACAACTTGCCCAGAGAATCGCATCTAAAATACTCAAACAGAATGAAAAGCAGTCATTATCTGATATCGTCGATTCCACTTTTCAAGGAGAATTTCTAGACTCAAAATTTCTTCGATACGAAGAAACACAGAAGCTTGGTGGAGTTATAGGTCTAAGCAAGATGCCTGCGGTTGCAAATGATCCGTCCTCGCCCTCAATTATAGATTTATTTGTCAAACATTCGACAGAGTCTGTCGCCTTTGGCTATTTTGTCAGTGGGCAGACTTCAAAACCTATTTTTGGCGTTTCACGAAAGCCAGAATCCTCTTTAACGGGCTCGAAATACTTTTCGTATACTTGTACATAAAAGTATCAATAAAATCTTCAAAATGTTTGTTTTATTTGTTATTTCAATTGATTTTTTGTGACTGGGTTCTTATTTGTGAGTACCGCTTTCCAGATGCCAAGGAGATCTCTCTCTGAGGATCGTGGAGATCCATCGGAGTCAGACGATACGACATCATCTACTGATAAGTCGAAGAAATCCTTCGCAGTAAAGGTAATTTATTTTTCTCATTCTCTGAATTCCTTTTATCAGAAATACTCTTACCATGTCTTTGTATTTCTCTATAGCAATCACTTTGCTACACTGTATACAATCGTTTAAAGAAGATCAATAAGGATGACGGTACTCCCTTAGTTCACGCCCTTCGTCTTCCCAATAAGAGGTATGCCAGTTCTGTTAATTTTATAGAAACTATATATTTGCCATTGTTCATTTGTTATTCGTACTCCTAATAGAAGTCATCCCGAATACTTTGAAAAGATCACTGAACCGATTGATCCGGACAAAATTCTTAATAAGATCAAGACCTCCAAGTATTCAAGTATTGGAGAGATGGGAGAAGACATTAAGCTAATAGTTTCCAATACACACTCCTTTTTCGGGCCTACAAGTACTGAGGGTAAGGATGCAAATGCCCTCGAGGAGGCTTTCAATAAGGAAGTCCAGAGAGCTCAGGCTCTAACCGGTTCTAAAGCCCCTTCTGTGGCGTCTACAAGCAGTAGTGGTTAGTTTGCTCAATATAAAAAAAATCGCTTACACTATTATTAAGGAATGTATAATAATAACGTATTTCATCTTATAGTCACAAGATCAAGCCGCAGAGTTTTTAAACGGGAAAGAACTGACGATGAAGAGGTATTTTAATGATCTTATATTTCTTTATATTAACTTTTTAATCTTAAATAAAATTACATTTTCATACATTTCTTGGTGTTTGTAAGTATTAAATTTGCCAATTCTTAAGGATAAACATTTAATAACTTAGTTCTTAATTACATTCTCTTTAAAACGGTAGCATTAAGATTTTCCGTATTTTCATTTCTTCAAGTCGTAATGCATTGTTTCCCTCATTATTTCTATGCAATTTACTTTCACTTAAAACGATCTGACTCAGAGTATCGAATTGGTCGATTTTTGTAAGACATTGACTGTACCCTTGCTGTATCTATTTCTTCTTATCTCCCTCAGCCTTATATACTTCAGAAAATATGTTTTGGATAAGCTAGTGTAGGCTTTTTGTCTTAATATCGATTATGGGATTTCATACATCATTACTCTTCGAATCCTTTGATTGGGAATTCCGTCAACTTATTCTTCTTACTGGATTTGTTTGAGTGGTTTTCAACCTCGTTTATTCGTTTTCAGTATTCATTATGATTATTACCGTTTTTCTAGACCGATAATGACGTCGTATCTGTCGCTTTATCTGAAATATCTGAGGCCAGTACTTCAACGAGTCACCGAACCAATGTGAACGAACAAGCGCTTGAGGCGTTTTTTGCTTCAATTGTTTCGTTCGAAACAGCCGGTGGTCGACAGATTGCTCAGACTTTCGCTACGCTACCCCCAAAACAAGTCTACCCGCAGTACTATGAGGTCATCACTAACCCTATTGATCTGCGTATGATCTCCCAGCGTATCATCAGTGGCTTTTATCACACATTTGGTGAGATTGAACATGACTTCGTGCAGATGGCGAGAAATGCCAAGCACTTTAATGAACCAAAGTCGCAAATCTACAAGGATGCAGTTATTCTCCTACAAATTGTTAAGGAGAAGAAGGCCATGGTGAAAAAGCGCATGAAACTTGACCCAGACGAGGAATCCACTGAGTAAATTAGTTTAATCTCAATATTGATTAACTTTCCTACTCCCCCCCCCCCCCCCCCCCCCCCCTCCCCTTCATATTAAACATCTACGTTATTCTATTAGCTGGACTGGTCTTTAGATTAGTGTGTTTAGAAATGTGAGGATGTTCAGTGTAGCATTTGGGGTTCGTCATTCATTTTGGTCTAGGAACTCCGTATTTATTTTAAGTATTATTATAGTTTCCATTATACATATTGCTCAAATATCCCATTCTCTCTTTTTCTTGGCATTCTTTAAGCTTTCCATAGGCTTTATTTCGTCTGTCGATTTTAGCACATATTCATGTACGAACCGAGTGCTTCTTATAGGTAAATTAAACAGCTTTATCTGGAGTTTTGGCATCCATTGATTTTGCCGAGAATCATTTGTCATGCCTAAGTACACTTAGGGATGGGTGATATATCAGCACCGTCTTTACGTTTGTTCCCTCTAGTAATACTTCATCTTTCGTGTTCTTGCGAGAACGGACGCTACAAACGATTTGAATTCAGTTTCTGTTTGGTGTTGATCATTATCAGCGGACATGCCCTCTGACGTATATGAATTCGTTTAATTCCCCTTGATTTTCTAAAATCCTCCTGGTAAAATATCTTTAGTTATTGTTATTCAACTTGTTAGAATGCCTATTGGCATTAATTTCAGCCATCCATTTTGTTTGTTTCAGTGATAATGCGCATGAAATCACCGTGGACTATGCAAATCTCCCCGATCCAGTTGACTTCGCTTCACCGATTACCAAGATGGAAGAAGATGACGACAATGAGGGTGACTATGAGGGTGATGAGGACGGCGAGACAAACATTTCCACTCCTAGCACTACAGCTGTTATCAAGCGTCGTCGTGGTCGTCCACGCAAACAGCCCACCGATTCAGTAGCTTCCCCCGTGCCCTCTGAAGGTTCTGTAGCAGACCGATCATCAATTGGTGCTCCATTGACCCCTGTAGGAGGAGGTCAAATTGGAACTCCTCCTCAATCTACTGCTACTGTTCCTGCTTCTGGCAGTCTTACTTCTAGCCTTCCAAGTGGAAGTATTGTTGGTGGAGGAGGTGGAAATTCGTCTATTGTGGACGTCTCTTCTCTCATGCTGGAAGAGCAGATTATTCCACCCGGCTCACCACCTAATATGGCACCATTTATTGACCCAGCTGGTGGGGAGGAACAACTTATTCCCACCATGCTCTCTACAGCCGCTGTTGGCTCACTACGTTGGTGGGGAGAGCATGTTCTTGAGGCTATTTGTACTGCCACTAACTCAATGGGAACTCTTCTGGCTCTACCATTTATGAGATTGCCCTCAAAAAAGTGAGTTTATATTCTTGAAGTTTTTTCTTTCAATCTGATTTATAATAGAAAGCTCTTACTAAAGGAATGAATTTGGCCGATTAAATTTGTTGCGGTCAATATAATGGGGCTACTATGTTAAAATGATTAAAGATCTGACTAGCTCTAATTAAAACTATACCAACAACGATGAAATTAATAAAGGAGAGGAGGGTAGGAGCCAATCATTGAAATTTGGAATAAAAAACTAAGTAGATGTTTGATGAAATCGTAAAACGCCATAATCGAACTTGTGATATATAAAATAGAATCGTTTGATATTCATTTGGGAAGGTAAGGTTGGAATAATAGGCATTGTTTTAACACTTCGCTTCCTTACAACATTTTGATATGCATGTGAGGAGATTTAAGCATTGAGGGTAATTTGCTATCACCTCTAGCAATTGTCAAAGTGCCTAAAAATCAAAATAGACTACAGAAATAGTCAATCATGAACACATTAGGCAAATTCGGTTATGAATTAGTACCCTGCTTAAACGTTTTAGCTGGATACGTTTAAATTTATTTCCAACGATATTATAGTAGGAGAAATGGCAGAGTTGTTAAAGTGGACTGTAGATTGTACCTACGGCTTTACTTTCTACCCTTTTCCTTCAGAATGTATCCTGACTACTTCCGTCGAATTGTCAATCCCATTTGCTTGGCCAAGATCCGTCGCAAAATCAAGCGAAATGAGTATCACAGCCTGGCTGACGTGAGATCTGACCTCGATCGAGTTTTCATGAATGCCCAAACTTACAACATGGAGGGTAGTGACATTTACAACGTCGCTGTTTACTTGCAACAACTTACCAAATGCAAGTTTGTTGAACTGGGTCAAATTGCTGCCAAAGCTGAAAGCGCTGGTCTTCTTTCCCCCGGTACAAAGAGACGTCAAAGTCGCGCACCCGGAGAGGATGAAGCAACACCATCTAAACGCCGCCATCCTATGACTGCTGAGGAGGCTCGTAATAAACGGCTTATCAATCTCTATAATGCTGTGTTCAACCATGTTGATGAAGATGGTCACCGTCCTAGAGACACTTTTATGGTTCTTCCATCTAGGGAAGAATATCCAGATTACTATGAGGTCATTCCAGAGCCTATTGATCTGACAATAATTAAAGAACGCATGGAAGCGAATTATGTGAGTGCTGTGTTCTATTAGCTTACTTCAACTTCCATTCATTTGTGCTTCCTAAACCCTGCTATTTTGGTTTTGCAGTATCCAACTCACCAAGCGATGGTTGCTGATTTGCGTCTAATGTTTAATAATGCTCGTAGATACAATGAAGAGGATTCTCAAGTCTATCGCGATGCGGATACTCTTGATAGAGTTGTAAAGAAGCGGCTTAAGAGCCTTGGTCCCTACGCGAGTTGTCCGCAGGGAGTACCTCGAAGTCCTACTACCATCCGTCCTCAGCAAGATTTAGCTACAGCTTATGGTGGTATGGTACCGGTACAACATGCTGGTCCGGCACTGTCACCTCTTCAGCGATTGATGTATGAGGTGTTCCAGGCTATAAGAGAATACCGAGATCCTATGGGTCGTCAGCTCTCTACTCTCTTTCTTCGTCTTCCTAGCAGAGCTGATCTTCCTGCCTATTACGAATTCATTAAGCGTCCAATTGAATTTCAGGGTATTGCTAAGAATCTTCTTCAGGGCACATACAATGAATTTGAAGAGTTTATGAATGATATATTCTTAATGTTTGATAATGCATGTGCATTTAATGAGCCTGATTCGCAGATCTATAAGGACACTTTGGTCCTCCATCAAGTTGCCTTGGCTAAGCGCAACATGCTCCTATCCCAGACTTACTCCTCGGGCACCGTTATTCCTGGTCTAATGCCTACTAGTGTTCCAGACGTTCTACCAAGTGTTCGTAGGCTTCTAACCAGTTTGCACAATGCTATGCTCACGGCTTGCGATACTGATGGGCGTGGTCTAGTTGATTCTCTAATTGCCGGTGATGGAACAGAGACTTCAGTCACATCAGCTACTGCTGCACGTCTAGCTGCTCTACATCGGAGTGTTGCAGATGGCTCCTACAGACGTTTAGATCGTCTACAAGCCGATTGGCTTGAAGTGCTTCGTCGAGCTCGTGTTGGTGAGGAGCCCGAGAGAATGGCTGCTCTATCAGAAAATGACGCCAAAAGCAATCAACCCACTCCACAGCAGCGTCAAGATGCTGCAGAGCTGGCCAGACGATGGATTCGCCTTAGGGACTCAATGTGCAAGCGTGCTAATTCTGCTCCTGCTGCTCAACAGACTAATTCTGCTCCAGGAGAGTCAAGTGGAAATGAATCGACGGGCAGTGGAGCCCCAGGAATGTCCCTGCCAACGAATTGGCATATAGTCAGTACTGCGATGGCATATACGGAAGCTGCCTTGGAAAGAGATCTTAATAATGAGGTAGAGGAGCATAAACCTGTGGTTTTCCCTGATGATGGAGAAGGAGATTTGCCACCTTTATCTGAGGGCGAAACTGAGTTGCAGGTATAATCTTGGTTCATTTTAAAGAACATTGCGAACGTGATTTATTGATCTTTACTTGTTTTGAGTCTTCTAAAATGGTAGTGAAACATGGTCCTCTTTAAATATCTCCCTGAAAATTATGCATGCTTTATTCAAATCAGCGAAATTGTTTGGCTATTCATCAATAACTATTACTCGGTCGTCTAATGAAAAGCGAACTTTCGAGTAACATTTTTAAATCAAAGCGTTAAAATTCGCCTGTGAAATGAATAAAATTTAAAGCTGAAGATAATAAAAGCCATCATTGATAGTCTTTGAATTTGATAGACCTTTTCGATTAGTGCATATTTGCCCTTATCCCATTCCTATCCTTCTCACGTACACAAGTTGACGAAAGCTAATTTAGAAAAGAGATCATCTTTGAGCTTTTCTTCCATATTCTCTCTAGACTTGATATCCCTGTTGCAAGACTACAACTTTAGAAGGCCTACCGTCGTCGATTTTTCTTCAGTCAAAATTAGTTTTCGTTTGGCTCTCTTCTGCGCAATCATTAATCTTTTTGTTCTTACCACTGCTCTTGTTTATATCAGGAAATTTGATAAATTTTAAGTTAAAACACCATCTATGCTGCCCATGTTTACTTTATTTAAAATAGACTCAATTTTTCTTCTTTGTTCAGATCTAAGCTATTTGTTCTCTGTACTTATCATCAGCATTAACATGTGTAATGTTTTCAATAATTTAACCGTTTTACTTCTAGTCCGTTGAATCAAAGGGACAGATCTATAAAGTTGGAGACTACGTGTACATTGAACCACTTCGTCAAGATGTGGCCCAACTTCACATTGGTCGCATCACTCGAATCTCAGAGACTCCAGCTGCTAATCCTAATGAAGGTGAAAATAAAGGATCATCTACGGTTAAAGTTCGGTGTGCTATCTACATGCGTTCAATAGAAGCCAAACCCTCGCGCCGTAGACGCCTCCTTGCTGCTGAAGTCTTTCGTACTTCCTCCAGTAGAGTTGTTGAGCCTTCCAAACTCTTCGGCTACTGTTTGGTCATGCATATCTCTCATTTCATCCGTTGCCGCCCAAAGAACATTGATGAAAGGGATGTCTACGTGTGCGAGTCGCAGTACTCCCTTGCAAGCAATTTGTTTGCCAAGATAAGAGTAAGTTTAATAATTTCATAAATAGTTTATTTTTGAGATGAAAGGTCGACTATTTGTTGTCTTTTCTCTTTTTCCTAGCGGTGGGGCGCACCAACTCCCAGTCATATTGAGTTGGAGGATCGTGTGTCTCCTTTTGTGCCCACTCGTTTACCTCCAAGTGAACCTCTAGATAGTGCTTTGGAGCAAGTGAATACTGCATCGTTTGCCTGCATGACTTTCCCTCTTGATAGACCTCTTCAGGTATACTTATATTTTTTTGTCAGCCAACTTTTCATTTTTGTGTCTAAAATCTCGCGTTGTCTTTCTCTTAAGACCGTTGTTGATGAGGTATCAAAGGCTGAAAACATTACCTCATTTGAACAGTATGTTATTGCTAATGAGGAGACACATATAACACTCAAGCAAGGTGAATATTGATCTCTTTGATAGAACCAAGTCTATTTCATGATAATGAATTCTCTATTGCCTTTTTTGCATCCGTTTACTATTTTAGGGGACTGTGTCTTTGTTCCGTCAACTACTAGTGGTTCCGATCGTCAAATTCTGCGGATAGAAAAGATTTGGAAGAACAATGAGTGAGTAAAAGAACGCGAAATTCGGGAATGATTCTTATGATTTTGTTCATATTTCATGCCTATTCAATGCCTTCTCTCTGCTGCTAAGAGGGCCTTTAATTATCTCTATTTTGACTTAATTTTCTTTCTCATAACGCAGCGACATTGCAGTGGCCGCATTGCATGCAAACTCCAAGCCCGTTTTTTCTCTCTCTTTTTAGTGAGGAGAGCGTATCTGTGACGGGATCGATATTCATCTTCCCGATTGAGGTTGAACACTTGCCCACTCGTGTTTTCTTTCCTCGTGAGGTCTTCCTTACCAGCAATGATCGGGCCACCTTCCCGATTTCCTCAATTAAGACGAAAGTCATGATTATGAGGCCTGCTGACTATTTCATTGGTATGAATCTTTCTATTTTTCTGAAATTAGTTTTTTTTTATTTTGAATGCTTAAGTCATTCTCTACCTTTGTAAGTTGTCACTTGGTTGAAGAATTTCATCTTTACTTTATTGACCAAAACTTACGAATATGTACATGGGTATATTTACCAAGATCTATTACTCGAGGTCATTTCTTGTATTAGAGATTTGATTTACGTCCTCATTATGTGTATATCTAATTAATGCATCCTTTATTTCTCACTTAGCTCGACCTACATGCTACCGTGATGTTGACATATTCATTTGTGAATCCAAGTACATTGAAGAGGAGAAAGTGTTGCGAAAGATGAAGAAGGGTTTCAAGGTATGTTTACTCTCTTGTCATTTTGATGCCTTTCCATTCTCGTCTATTTAAATTCTCTTTTCCGTATTTTAGAAATTCAAGTTCTCTGCTGATACACTGGAAGATGAGTTCTTCCTATTTAATCAACCGATCGTTCCACATAAGGTGTTTTTTATACCTACCATTGATTTAGGCTTTCTGGTGTTAGGATGGGGGGGGGGAGTGATAGTTCTTGATATTACTTCGAAATAATTGTTTTGGACCTGTTCTTTAGGCTGAAGCAATTAGTCAAATTACTGTTTGCATTGTCAGCACATTAAGGAGGAAGTTGAGACGTCATTCTCATTTTACTTATAAACACTTTAGACGACATATTTATCATATCTCTATATGGAATTGACCTTTCAATTACTCAAGAATTTCTTCCTATCCTAAGTCGATGATGTTTGATTAGTATTTTATATCGGCTTTTACTATTTGTTTTCCATGCCATTAGTAAGATTTTTTCTGTTTGATATAATATGCAACAACTTCAGCTACTAGCAATGCGATTTTTAAGTTTCCAAATGGAAGGGCATAGGAGAGATCGAAGACGCCGTTTTAGTTACTATGGTGGTAGGACTGTGCTGAGTAAATGTGTCTTCAACCAGCCAATTTGTAGAATGTTTGATGTGAAAGGAGTGTATTTTAAAGATTTCGTTAAAGATAATTCACTAGTAACCCTTATTATTACAGGAAGCATCGCCACTTCTTGTAAAAGCATCACCAACACCATTGGGTTTGGACCAGTTGAACCAGCCACCCGCGATGGCCTACGCATGTGTGATGGCGGCGGCTAATGGACAGCCCACACCTGTGGTCGATTATGGTCCACGTTTGGCCCCCGCCCCGCCTCATTCACCAGATGTCGGTCAACTAGCTTTCATGGAGGTCGGACTTGATCGCACTGGAAAGAAGGTAACTACTAGTTTTTTACTCTACGTGCACGTTTGCCAATTCGAAGGTTATTTAATCAACGTTCATCCGATGCACGTCTAGTAATGTGGATGGGCAGTCACATTCACGAATTCTGGTTAACAAATTTGTCAAATTTTATAAAATGGATGTTGTTGACCAACCACCAGGGTATATTTCAAGTTTCACAACAGTGACAATTTTACCAAAGTGCAGTGTTAGCGCCTTCGAAGGTAATCTTGAGCCCATTGAGCATAATATCAGGATGAAACATACGGCTGGGTGTACACAAGCTTAAAAGGGTAGATAACAACTTACAAGGTGAATGAAGAGTGAAATAGTTGAGGAAATGTTATTAACTCTTAATTCTTATTTAACTTTTTTGAATAATTACCATTGTCCCCATAGAACTTTACGAATGGGATTTTCGCATTATTAGCTTCACTATCTGAAACTAGTCTTTATAACTGACAGCTACTAAATCCAATTCCTTTGTACGACCTGGTATGTTGTGCGAGACTTAGTTTTCGGTTTGCCTAATTTTCCTATAATCACTTAAAAAGGGATTTTGCATACGATTTAGGTTTGCTCTGAACAAACAAAACATAATTTTCTGTTTATATTTCCTTAGCGAAAACTCCGAAAGCCACCTTCGGGCTATGTGATTTATGCCGGTGAGGTGCGCAAAAAGTTACTTCAAGATCGTCCTGATGCTCCATTTGGTGAGATTTCTCGTGAAGTCGGCTTGATGGTATGTTCTATCCTCTTCCTCTTATTTTGCGATGTTCTCGATATCCCCTCCCCCTCCCTCCCAATTTTTAACTAAAATGCTTTTATTTTCTACATCAAGCAACAATTTCCAGCGGTTAGTTTGCTTTACGTCTTATAAAGCTGAGCACAGAAGTAGTAGCTTCTGTATAGTTTTTAATAACCAAATAATGGTTTGTTATTTTGTATTTTACTTCACAATATCACTGCTCTGTTTGTATATATGGTTGGCTCTTAACTTGACAATCTATATAGGGTCTTATTGATTATCTCTTCTATTTTTTGTATATAGTGGCGTCAAATGCCTTCTCACGAACGAGATATATACGAACGTAAGGCCCGAGTTATCAAGCGTCGAATGGAGGAACAGGAGAGCCAACAGAAAGCTCGTCTTCATGAGCAAGAGAAGATGTTGCACCATCATGAAATGGTCCCTCATCATGGTGACCATCACCATGGTACTCCTGGTCAATCACAACTTCAAATGCAAGGCCCAGGCCAACATGGTACTCCTGGTGGTGCCCCCCATCATCCAGCAGCCGCCACTATGCAGTTCTATCAGACTGCTACTCCTGGCCAACCTGGGACTGCTACTGTTATCCAGATGATGCATACCACTACCTCCTCAAGTGTTGCTAATAGTGCAACAATGCAACCGAGACCTAGTATGATGGAGCAAGGTCTTGTGCTCACCAACCAGATGTCTCATGCCCCTGTACTGGCTACTACCGGCGGCCAACAGGTAGGAGAGAAAATGGCATGGGTTATCTTGAATAAACAGAGATTGATCGTGTTGTCTATTGTTCTAGGTGATCTACCAATTCGCCGGTCAACAGGCACCGCAAGGCATGGTGCAGGCATCGACTGTTGGACCACAGAATGTGAACTTGGGTGGATCACAAGTCATTTTGACCCACCATCCACAGCAGATGGGTCTTCCTCAGCAACATCATCCTGGTACGCCTCAACATTTCACTATGATGCAGGCTCAACAACAAGTCCAACACCAGCAACACCAATCCGTTAGACCACCGAATGTCATGCCGGCTCAGCAAGTCCAAGTAGTCCAACAATGTAAGTTCTTCACTTTTGTGGTTTTGTGACTGTTACTTGCAGAATGGAAGCAACTCTCATTTATTTGCATATATTAACGCGCTGTTTTATTTCCGTCTTCTCTTATATTCCATCTATCCTTTTATTCTATCATTCCCTTGAGTTGTTATTGCTTGAGAGGCGCCATTTTCAAATTTCTGATTTTCGCTCTACCCATCATAACACCTAATAATAGTTATAAACTCACTTAGATAAAGATCACATGGAGCATACTAGTTATATTATGTGGTGCGGAGCTTTGTAATTCTAGCACACTTAAAGCTTTAAAGTTACCTTTTCTGAAGTATGACAATCACGTTGACTTTTTTTGATTCCTCACGGTTCTCTTTAGTGAGGCGTTTTCTCTTCAATATGTAATAGTTATATGTAAGTACGCAACTGAAGTGTTTGAATTGTAAATTACTTCCCTACACATCTGACTTGGCTCATCATTTATAGAAGTTTCACCCTCGAATCTCTAAACTACTTAACTTAAATCTCTAAATGCGGAAATTATGAAAGAGAGCGTCTAATTAGCAGATTCAATAGTGATGCTTCGCTAGCTATAGAGATAATTAGATATTAGGACGTCGTAATACTTCAACATTTAGTGGTCAACTGGAGAATTATCTAAGTAGGTCAACGATCATCAGACAGTTGCTACTCCAACATTTTGATCTTCCGGAATTTCAATGGTATCCTAATTTTTTTATGATTTACACTAACGCACCATGTTATGTACTGTCTTTTGATAAAGTGACCCAAACAACAGCTGAGGGAAGTCACCAGACGGCGTCTACAGTGGTGAACGGCAGTGGGGCAACTGGAACCACCACAGCAGTCGTTCCACAGCCAATGACAGCAGCAGCAATTCAAGCTCAACCGGCCCCACATCCTGCAGCGCCCCCATCGCGTGCACCCTCGCCTCTCTTTGTCTCGGTGCCGCCTCGTACCTCTCGTGTGCTTCATTCAGAAATTTATCAAAAGTATGTCCTTTGGGTGATGTTCAATTTACGGTTGTTAACTATTGAGTTCTTAATTGGGGGGATTTTAACCTCAAAATTGTCAATGGGTAGATGTAGTTATAAAATACTCATCTATTTTTCCATGACAACATCATATTTTCTTCCTATTATTAGTGGAAAAATTCCTCTCCAGTAAGGTAATCGAAGTACTTTTAATTACATTACTTTGAACTGTAAGAAGTTTACTCTATATTATCGGGGACCTTTTTCATATTCTGATTGCGATTTCGGTTTGTGGGCCGATAATAAAGAACCTGATTTTTGCGTGTAATTATACATCTCTTCAGCAGCTAAATATGCTTCTAGACTAATAGATTTCCTAGAAGTTGGCTTTATATCTTTTTTTCCGATTCCGTTCTCATTGTTCGCATAGTTTTATAGCTATTATTCACTTCTGCTAGCTTTATCTAACCCACTCTTCAACTTGCCCTGCCTATCCGAACATGAGTATTTTTGCAGTGGTATTGTGTGTTGACATGCTATTTGCCTGATATAAATAACTCTTTACTTTACTTTAACTCAATTCTTTTTACTCATATGATATTAATCGGGTTCGATGCGAGTGAACGCTATTGGTACTTTTGTCAATCCCATCTCTCTTGTCTAACTGGGCTGTGTGAATTTCATTCGTCTTTCTCCAACTTTGAAGCTAACAAAGTGCGTATTGAAGGAGTAGGATCGAAATGGAAAAGCATCCAATCGGTACATAAGCTTTGAACATTTATTTATATATTTCAAATGGCAGACTTTATGATATTTATCATTAGCCCTAGCTTTGAACATTGTGGACGGGTATTTACTCAGTAATTCGGGAGACGGCATGAAATTGTACTTTCAGTATGCGAGCTACCCATTAATTAGATTTGCCCAACCCGAATTGAAGAGCAAAGAAACTCGTTCTATTCTCAGTATTTTTTGGATTCGTAACTTCTGACATGCGTCTATCACTACGTAGCCAGCTAACCTCATTGTTCAGTACAGTAGTACAAAATTCGTCAATTCTTTGGTAGCTAGGTGTGCTCTCTGTACTGTTGACACATGCCTCACGTTTGCCATATCATCTACGCCCACTTAACTGGTTGACATTCCACTATCTTTCACACAGGTATATTGGGAGACTTCGTAGCAGTACACAATACTTAAGCGACTGGAAGAAACAGCTAACAGGCGCTGCAGAGCCGCCCCCTCAGCTAAATCAAAATTACGCCGCACAACTTGCCACAAGCTACTTCGACACCCCTCAGCTGCACTCGCATCAAGGTTCACTAGTGGATGCTCTCTGGGGTCTAAGAGACAACCTCATAAAGGACACAATTAACATTCGTACTCGTGCACTCGGACTGGAAGAGCTGTAAACACCCATCACTCCTCTTTGTTTGTTGTCTTGCATTTTTCTCCATGTATGTGCCCTCGTTCGTATCTTTTTCCGTTACCATCGTAATCAATCTTTGTATCCATATACAATTACACAGTCCCGTGTTCAAATAACAAATTTGTATCCCTACCCCTACTTAAAATAAAATGCATATTACCTCAAAATCCATTTCTGTGTTAAAATGAAATAAATTTGAAGTCAAGGTTTGATTGCATTTATTCGATATTTACAAAGTTAGAAATTTGTCTGGAGTAGGTAGGATCATTTCTTTCCCTTGCCTTTTTTGCCGAAATTGAAGAGAGGGTTATTAGCCTTTTTCTAAAAATCAAGCAAACAAGAAACAGTCATTTTGGTGCTGAGGAGTTACACTTTATAGGGCATGGTCAATTTACCTTGAGCGCTATCTGCCGCTTTATCTGTGCAACTTTAGCAGGGTTTCGAGCCATTGCCATTTTTGCCTTGTGGTTTCTGAGTTTGTGCAATTTGATGGGCTTCTCTGGTTTATCCTCGGGATTAGGCTTAGAGCGCTCCTTGGCCCAGTTAGAGGGCTTATAGCGTTGTCTATTTTTAGCCCGCTTCTGAGAACCCCTGATCAAGGCTTGTAGGGAGGCAGGCACTAAAACACAGACAACACTTCACTACTCAATTCCAATAAAGTAACACAAGTTAAAGGATTTAGAAGACGGCTGTCACCCTACCCATGTACTCAGGAACATTCTTCAAATGAGATTGGGGTGTTGTTGAGAGGGGTTTGTCATGACGTAAAGCATCAAAGTCAGCGGAGTGAGCTTCAAAATATCCTTTCAAGCGCTCAGAGTTCATTAACTCTAGTTTAATTTCTTTCAATCGAGCTTCACGAATGCGTTTGCGCGTTATCTTCCCAATCACATCCGATGAACGATATCTGAATGCATCAACCTCCGACATTCGAAATTGGTAGGGACGGAATATTGAATCAACTAAAAATGCAAATAGTACGACATTTAAACCAAGGCTATGGGATTGGGGGAATTCTGACAACAGTTATGCGCATCTACACCGCCGCCCACATTTCAGTAAAGCAGCGGTTAAACACTCCCAGGTTTGAATCCAACCACACAGAATAATTCCTCAACTATTATTCAATCATTCTATTTATTATAACGAAAATATCTATCAGAGCATTCGTTTGCCGTCCATCTGTTGGGCAGAAAGTACGAATGCCACCTCAGTTGACCAAACAATACATTTTTTAGAGGCCAAGAAAATAACAATTGTTAAAATTAAAATCTTATGAGTAATATAAGTGAGGTCTAAATAGAAAAGCAATCAAATCGTGCTCGGTAAAGCAAATAATTGACAATAGATCATACTTAAAACAACCTTGCCACTTCAAAACTAACTACTACAGGGAAGCAAACAATTACCTGCTGTTCTATCCGATTTCTCTAACTGCAAAGTGCAGGGATCCTTCTGCAACAGAAGATTTGCCACATCACTAAGTCTCGTTTCTTCTACACTGTTCACAAAGGAGATCGCAGTTCCCATTTGATCCGCCCTTGCAGTACGCCCAACTCGATGAACATAGCTGATAGCAGTGAGAGGAAAGTCGAAATTCAACACATTTCTAACCAACTTGAAATCGATACCCCGCGATACACCGTACTCAGTGTCTTTCACCGGCTTTGACCTAATAAGCACAAATTCACAATCATGAGACATTGAAATAACATGAAATACTGCCAATAGGCAAAACATTCACATTTTGAAGTTCTTTGGAGCCTCATTCCCCGTCCCAGTTTCGTTCTCATCGGTAGCTAGAAGGTAGTCATAGAGGCCACGATTGAATTGGTTCACCGTATGGATACGGCAGGCTACCGGCAACTCCGAGTTCAGAACAACCGATTTCACACCGAATTCCTCCAAAAACAACTTGAGCCTGCCAATGGGAATACACTTTTAGAAAGGGCTAACTTACTTATAACAACGATCGATGGAATTTGTGAAAATTAGAGTACGCCCACGGATCAGCTTCAACTGGATCATCGAAATAAGAATCGCGTATTTTGAGGACTCTTCTGCACTGACTACGTACTGCGACAACTGCGATTCTGATGGAAGGAAACTCTCCTCGGGCAGTTCAATTCGAACCCATTCACCAACTTTAAGCGTACTACGAAGGGATAGTGCTGTTTCATTCAACGTGGCAGACATCATGATAACCTGGATTGGCCTTTTGGGTAGAAAAGGCTGAATAGCTTGCATCTGCTTTTGATAACCGAATACAAAAACAAGATCAGCTTCATCGATGATCAGGTGTGCAAGAGAATCAAGATTAAGACGTTTCAGGCGCAACTGGTCCAAAACCCTAGAAGGCGTTCCCACTATAATATCTGGATGTTCTGCCAAGAGAGGTCTACAAAATGAGCCAAATAGCAATAAGAGCGAAAATTAAGCAGGCTTATCAATTCAGTGAATTACCTTAAAGCATCAACATCATCCGTCCGAGAGAGATCAAGAATGTTAATGTTTCTGGAGGCATATTTACAAAGCATTTTAATATCCTTGGTTATTTGGTTACACAGCTCTTTAGTTGGCGCCAATATCAAGGCTGACGTCTTCTGCTCAGTTTGGAACTAAAGAATGGTCAATTAGGGGTAAAATCAAACCATCTTGTTTTCAAGAATAGATTGGATAAGAGGGATGGAAAAAGCTCCCGTTTTGCCAGAACCAGTGCGTGCTTGAACGCACATACTTTTCTTCTCTAGAGCGAATGGAATAACTGCTTGCTGTATATCTGTTGGTCGGCCCCATTTTAAATCAGATATAGCCTGAAAAGATCAATTACACATAGATGACGTACCGACAACAAGCGTTGGTCTAAATTCATAAGATGGAAGTGATCGACAACAGACATGATCGTAAACGCGGAGTCAGGCAAGGGTGCCGAGAGAAAATGTTCGGGTAAAGTTGACTTTGGTCAATTGAAGCATTCAAACACAGTTTATAAACTCATTTGAGTCTACATTTTCTTTAACGTGAATTCAAATTTTGTTTAAATTTTAATTTGGACATGAAGGAAATCTTTCGTACTATTTCTTAATCTAATTTTAGCTTTTTGCGCTTCTTTTGAATGCAAATTGCTAATAGGCATGACCGGTGAAACTCTGTTTGACACTATTCCCTCCGAAATTAGTGACTTATTAGTGGATTTTTCGGATTCTATCGAAGAAATTAATAAACTTTTAGTTGCTTATAAAGATGCTCTTAAAACTTGTGAAAATGAGGCAAGTATTCATAAGCTTTATGTTTATTCTCTTTAGTTACCCAAAATGCAACGCGTTCAAATTGAACTCTCTTTGACATATACCATGAATGCATTATTCTATGGTTTGTTTGAAACATGTTATGTATTCGTATTTTTTACATTTTATTTTAGTATATCTTCGATGTCATGGAGTTGATACTTCTGATCATCCCATTGTCAGCGAATTGGTAAAACTATTCATCATTAAAGCTAAAGTCGTTATTTCTTTATTTTCCATTTTTTGGATCTAATTTCAATTTCTGATTTATAATTTAGCAGCGACTAACAGCCTGCCTAAAACGATGTCAGAGTATCTGCAGTAAACAGTCAAATGAAAATCAGCATGCTCATTTGGACAAAGAGGCCACAAAACGTTTTGTCAAGCGTGCACTTTGGCAATCTGTTCAGGCTAAGCCCAAAAGGCGAAAAATGGATTTAGACTAGATATTATTGTATAAATAACAGCCCTTTTCCAGTGTACAATATCTCGTTAGACATGTCTATCAAAGATTAACTGTTCGTTTCAAATTTTGTTGAGATTGATTAATATAATCTAATAAATCCTTCGCTTTTAGATGTCCATTTTTTTCTTTTTTTAAATACTGGTTTTCTTCAGCAATGCCAATTATCTTCTGCACCTTAATCTGTAACCTGGTTTCATTTTTAAATTTTTTTACTTAAGACTGCCATAGATAAGTGGTCACCATAACTTTCACCCTGTTTCATTCTCAATTGATTACAACTCAAATGTCGTTGATTTGGTTGGCATTTTCATGAATCGCGCACAATTAAGGTTTGTTTTTTCTCAAGAAAATGGAGATAGGATAACTAGAAGTATATTGAACTATCTGATTTTGTTCCGAACTTCAACCGTACTATTTTATGAATTAGGGTCGTTAAATGGCTCTTTGGTTTCAAGGATGTAATCAATCTTATGGTCAGGTAGCACGATATTTGTAGTTAAGTTACAGTCCCCCCCAGTCATCGATCAATATAGTGAATCTCCAGTTATCTGGGTGTCTACATAGTCGGTTAAGTCTCATTGACAGGAGAAGGTGGAGTAATAGAATATGAGAGTATCTACGCAATTCTGGCAATTTGTAAGAGTTGTGTAGTTTATTTGCCCCAAAAATTGTCGAATTTCGTGCTTTGGGCCCTCCTTTGAATCATAACTTCTTTTCGAGTTTATACATAATTATTACAGTACAATTACTGCATTTTTAGTGAATTATCTTGCATATATTTTGTGCTAGGAATGAGGTCTGGTAAATTTTAAGTTACAGAAAGTATGCTCGAAATGCTGAGTGGATTGAAAAAACTAACGTGGGCATCTAAGATCACTTACTATCAAACGGTAAATGTCAAATCAGTAAAAAAGCTCTGGGTAATATGTATTGCAATCTAGACTACTCATACTTTGTTTTAATTCAAGTTTGAACTGGTCATGGTTATCTTCGTTTAAGAAAACCAACCTCTCGATATTCAGAAAAACCTCGCTTTTCATACTACGCTTTCATTCTCCTGCTATAAAGTCAATATTAGAAGTTTTCTCTAAAGTTAAATGCTTAAATGGCCAGTGAATAGCAGTCTCTATATGTTTGTAGACAATGATTTTGGTGCTAGTATTGTCTGCCAGGAACTAAATTGAAGAGGCATAAACAACCACGAAACAGTATCAACTATTCAAAGAGCCTGAAACACCATAGAAATCACCTCACTCACGAATTTGAACGTTATAAAATTACAAAACGGACAATACACCCTACGGAAATATATACAAAACAGTTTTCACAAATTAAGAAAAGGAAAACACTTGATAACTTGAATTCATTAAGTTCTCCTACATATCTTAAGCCTTTGAATCGCTTATTAAAACCCCCCCCCCCCCACTATACCCCTCAATTCAAACTTTTCCAGACTACGGGCGCAAAGTGTTTCCTAATTTAAATACACTATGGCTATACACTAAAATCAATCGTAAAAACGTACCAGCAAGTATAACTACACACAAGTGTTAGTTGACGATTAAATCATAGCAAATAATTATAAACGTGTAGGTTAAGGAGAAGATAGTTCCTGTCGCATTCCAACTACAATGATAGATTTATCAGGCGATCACGAACTCGATTGAAACAGAACAAAAAATCCAAGTGAAGGTTTCATTGTATACATTGGATATTTACAAAGTTAGAAATTTGTCTGGAGTAGGTAGGATCATTTCTTTCCCTTGCCTTTTTTGCCGAAATTGAAGAGAGGGTTATTAGCCTTTTTCTAAAAATCAAGCAAACAAGAAACAGTCATTTTGGTGCTGAGGAGTTACACTTTATAGGGCATGGTCAATTTACCTTGAGCGCTATCTGCCGCTTTATCTGTGCAACTTTAGCAGGGTTTCGAGCCATTGCCATTTTTGCCTTGTGGTTTCTGAGTTTGTGCAATTTGATGGGCTTCTCTGGTTTATCCTCGGGATTAGGCTTAGAGCGCTCCTTGGCCCAGTTAGAGGGCTTATAGCGTTGTCTATTTTTAGCCCGCTTCTGAGAACCCCTGATCAAGGCTTGTAGGGAGGCAGGCACTAAAACACAGACAACACTTCACTACTCAATTCCAATAAAGTAACACAAGTTAAAGGATTTAGAAGACGGCTGTCACCCTACCCATGTACTCAGGAACATTCTTCAAATGAGATTGGGGTGTTGTTGAGAGGGGTTTGTCATGACGTAAAGCATCAAAGTCAGCGGAGTGAGCTTCAAAATATCCTTTCAAGCGCTCAGAGTTCATTAACTCTAGTTTAATTTCTTTCAATCGAGCTTCACGAATGCGTTTGCGCGTTATCTTCCCAATCACATCCGATGAACGATATCTGAATGCATCAACCTCCGACATTCGAAATTGGTAGGGACGGAATATTGAATCAACTAAAAATGCAAATAGTACGACATTTAAACCAAGGCTATGGGATTGGGGGAATTCTGACAACAGTTATGCGCATCTACACCGCCGCCCACATTTCAGTAAAGCAGCGGTTAAACACTCCCAGGTTTGAATCCAACCACACAGAATAATTCCTCAACTATTATTCAATCATTCTATTTATTATAACGAAAATATCTATCAGAGCATTCGTTTGCCGTCCATCTGTTGGGCAGAAAGTACGAATGCCACCTCAGTTGACCAAACAATACATTTTTTAGAGGCCAAGAAAATAACAATTGTTAAAATTAAAATCTTATGAGTAATATAAGTGAGGTCTAAATAGAAAAGCAATCAAATCGTGCTCGGTAAAGCAAATAATTGACAATAGATCATACTTAAAACAACCTTGCCACTTCAAAACTAACTACTACAGGGAAGCAAACAATTACCTGCTGTTCTATCCGATTTCTCTAACTGCAAAGTGCAGGGATCCTTCTGCAAC